ATTGTAACAAATGACCCTCAAAAGGGCTATGATTTAAAAAACCAAAAATGTGAAGCCCACTTTGGAAACTGTAGTAGTTTCAGTGAGTTTGGTTTTAGATAGTACTGGTTCATTTAAAATTATCTTGGATGTTAACAAGTAGAAAAAAGAATACCCTCATTCTTGGCAGTTGCTCAAGTTTTCAGATGTAAGATGTCAGGATGTTTCAAGTTACAATGGCCCAGCAAACCTGATTATAAAACTATGTATATGTTTAAAATAGTCATGGGTACAGTGTTCCACTTATATTTTTCTTTCTCTGAAAGGCTGTCCATGAATAGTGGCAATCACACAGAAGAATGCTTTTGGATAAGACAAGGGGAATCTGCCCTGATCTTACCTGTGGAAGGAGGACAATGGTATTTCTGAATGATTTGGGGGAACCACAATCCCAGAGGAAAGAAAGCAACCTTTCCGCAGCAAGTTCCAGTTTCAGAGTACCAACATCTCACTAAGCTGAGGCAACTGCAAACAGAATCAATACCCTAACCTGCTCATACACCCAAGGTGGCACAGGCCAACCACGTGGCTCTCACACAGAGGTGGCCACAACTACTGCCAAGAAACCTACCAAAGGCCCAACTGTAGGAGAACAGCTGCAGCTTTCTTAGCCTGGGGGTGTTGGTTACAGATGGTTGCTCACTCCATTCCATCTCTTTTCTGGATACTTAATTTGCCCATGTGTTCCTTAGGAGGTGGTCCTAGCCAGGACAACTGCTTCAATCTTAAGTGCAGTCAAGACTGGCTGCTCCAACAAGTTTAGCTCTGCCTTTCTCCTAGACATCACAAAAGACAAGGAAACCTATTAACCAGTACCTCGGACACAAGGCATCTGAGTAGCACTCTGGATGACAGCATAACTGTCGTGTACTTCCTGTCAAGATCCTCAGCCACTCCTCACAGGTGCTGCTACTCCCATTTTAGAGATGGCAATGGAAGCCAGGAAAAGGAGGACAAATTGCTCAAGTTCTAAGTACCCACTGAATGAAGAGGTAAGAGTAAACCAAGGACCTCCAACCTCTTTGAAGAACACATCCAATTACATCACTTTTGACCATGGCTGGGCTAGGCTGGGCTGGGCTGAAACTCTCTCACACTTGGGATACACTAGTCCTGTGTATGCCACTCCCCGCACCCCCCACCATTAGAGGTTAAAAATCCCAATCAGCTTAAAACCTTCTGTTTTGTTTTTTTGACAGAGGCTCCCTGTAGCTCCAGCTGGCCTGGAACTTTTTAGGTAGACCAGGCTGGCCCCCTGATCTCAGAGATCAGCCTGCCTCTGCCTCCTGAGTGAGCCTGCACCACCACACCTGGCCTAGTTCAAGACCTTCTAATGGCCTCGCCTAACTCAGGGGAAGGACCACTGTTCTTAGAATATCTCACCAAGTTCCCCCATGCCCCATCTCTATCTACCACATTATTTCACCAATTCCAGTCTACAGGCTTTGAACATATACTCTTCCCCCAGATGGTCACAAAACCCACTCACTACCCAGCTCTCTGTGAGTGATGCTTAGGTGTCATCAGGGCTTTTCTGGTTCTCCCCTCCCCAACCCTCCCTGCTCACTCTCTCCACTGTGCCTTTCTCTCACTATCTGACATGTCATACTGGTCTCCTCATCATGGACTAAGCCCCTCCATTTCAGGTCTTTTGTCTACTTAGTTCACTGGCCACATCCTGTACCTGATTTACTGCTGCAGGAAGGGAAAAAAGTGTCCTATCACAAACTTGCATAAACAACTCTGCCTGTCTGTCTTGTGACAACACAAAGTAGGAGGAAACCTCCTAAAGCATCTCTTAAGGATGAGCCTCCCCGAGACATCAGGTCACCAACTAAGAAACAGCTGGCAGATGGGTGGATAAAATAAAGCAGAGGAAAAGAGGCAGCTAACGCAAGGCAAGTGGCCACGCTTGCTTTAGAAGTCTTGGCAGCCCCACGTAGACCCTTGAGGTGATGCCAACAGATTCTTCGTGTCTTAGACAGGAGACTATGGGTAACTTAAGCCTGATCCCAAGGACAAAATGTCTACCTACTTAAGAGGATAAAAAAAGAATTCCCTCAATCCACTTGAGGCTGCTCTCACAATGCAAGCATGTGGCCTGCTGAGGCTGAGGGAAAGGAACATGGCGCTAGCTGTGTGCCTGGGTAAGCTCCACTCATCTATGATGAAGCAGCTACTGGAAGAAGGGAGGGAGGGGCCAACGGAACCACTCAATCTTAAGGATTCAAGGAGCAGATTGTCCTCCCTCCCTATCAATCAAGGCCAGTCACACCCCTTAGTCACTAGGCATTTTCTCCCTGATACCACAAAGAGGTGGTACAAGGCCTTCAAAGTGCTCTGGTAGATGTCACAGATGGCAGAGGAAGCCTTAAGAGTGGCCCCAAGGCAGCTGCTACTGGCACTTAAAACATCCTTGAGGTTGAGGGTTGGGGATGTAGCTCAGTGGTAAAGGTGCTTGGCTAGTACCTGCAATGTCCTGGGTTTGAACCCTAGTATGCAGGCGTGAATAGAGAGGGGAGAGTCTGGTCACCTACCTTCCTTTGCTGTTTCTTTGGACCCATGCTAAATCAGCAGTAATAGGTACTTGGCTAGAACCCATACAATCAAAAGTGTCCACCTGACCCAAACCTGTCACTTGCTTCCTTCCTTTCAGTCACACAGCCAAGCAATCTGAGCCAGACACTAAAAGGAGCCAGAAAAAATCAGAACAGGGAGAAGGGAAGAGAGGTGGGCACACAGGTGACTTCCAGCATCCACCAGTCAGGACAAACAGAGAAGCACAAATCTTGAACAGAAAATTTCTGAGGCAGAGAGGGAGGGAAAACCAGAGAAGAGAAGACATACTTGTAGTCTGGCTTCCTGCCTGTGAAGGAGCGCCCCCCCCCCCATCCTAATGATAATCCTCCCTTCTGGTCCTGTTCCCGCAAGATAGTCTAGTACCAGTGGCTTAGAAGCCTCAAGTGCTGCAGATGTGATCTCAAAGCACTTCTACCCCCTTCTCTCACGCCCTCACAGGCCTCAAACAGGTTCTTCCTGGGAGGCTGGTAGCAAAGACCCATGTGAACAAAGCCATCTGACCTCAGGAGAACGGCCTATTCTGTAAGCATGAGGCACAGCGGGCTTCTTACTAAGACGTCTTTGTAGAGCTTATCAAAATGAAATAAAAAAGAAAGCTTTTGTTCTAATACTGCCAGGGTCCTGCTGTTGTTCTGGTAACGTGTGGGTGGGTGCCACCCGCTTGGAGAACACAGACTTGAGGAGGCATTAGGAGCCCTGATGGTGTTCTGGGTCCCACAGCAATCTGTTCTTTTAGGAAAAGGCTGGAGACACATTCTGTGGGGACATTTCACCAGCAGGCACAGTAAATTGTTTCTGTCTACACGCTGGTACTGGGTCAACAGTAGTCAAACACGACGATGGGGACACAGACAGATGTAGCCAAGCACAGTAGTGTGGCTGTCTATATCAAACAGAGGAAAAGAACAGCCAACTGTTCTCTCACCTAGACACCCCCCAACACGCAATGTAAACAAAAAGCAATGGTTACTCTCCACAACTTGCTACCAAAGATGATCAAACTAGGAAGTTTTCCTCTATTAGCCCTCCCAGACTAAGGGACTGACTGTGGCCCTATCATGACAGCTATTTAGTATGTCCAATTTATTCTGCAGTTTAGGTAGAGACAAGAGTGTTCTCTCCAAAGGTAGATTTTTTTTTTTTTTCAAAACAAGCCTTCCTCTGGTGGCCTTTAAAGATTCTAGTCCTTAACTCCTTCCACCTCCTGACCTCTTTTCTACTCAAGAAGAACCAGAGAAATAACTGGGCAGAGGAAGGAGGATGTGAGTTGCCTTCTTCCCTTCTCAATAAGTCATTTCCCTTTAGAGAAGGATCCTCCCATGATGGGGGAAAGAAAGCAACTTGAGCCTCAGCAGCTTGGCTGGATCAGTCCGGGAAAAGGTGGGGGTGGTGATAGTGGAGGGGAGGAGGGAGAAGAAACAGAGGAAGGATGGGGAGGGGGACAAAGGAAAGGGTGGGAATGGGAAGGAGGGGGAGGGAAGACGATTCCTATCAGCTGCGGCTACACCACAGCACCCACCATCCTGGAGCCAAAGCCCACAGCTATGAAGTCACAGCCAGCTAACCCCCACTCCGACCAACCCAGGAGGACCTTGTAAGGGCATGGAGTAAAAGATGGTCTCCAGGCCAGCAGATGTTTGAATTCTGTCTGGGGTGTGGGTACGTCTCTCTAAAATTTCCTTTGATTTAGCTACTCTGTACTGCGCTCCGGTTGCCTCTTTTCCTTTAAAATAGACGTGGAAAAAAAAATCTCCTAGAAACGGTAAGGGCGCTAAATAACTTGGCGCAGCCTTCGGTCGGCCGAGCCATCCCTGACACTGAGCCTTAGATTTACAAAGTGATTCAAAATAAAGATGAAAAAAGGCCACGCATAATGTATTCCCCAAGGCCAGGTGGAGCCACAGTAATGACTTAGGAAGCCGTTCCCTCCCCAACCGCCCCTTCCAGAGGGCTGAATTCCGGTGTTTCCTCCAGGGGAAAGCGTAGTAGGGCAGACTCGGAATTATCTCACCCTTCTTATCGCCATTGAAGGGAGGGCCCCAAGAATAGGGAAGGTGTCAATCTGGGCTCAGAAACGGATCATATCCTTTATAAGGGTCCCTGGCCAGGAGCGCGTGACCTCCGCCAAGCGATGCGCCTCGCCCAGCCTCAGTTTCCTCACCTGGGCAGTGGGCAACCTGGCAGCATCCGAATAGTGAACTGCTCACGCAGTGAGACACAGCCTAGCCCGGGCCACGCTTGCCTCGGCGGGCCCCAGGCTGTCCCTTGGGACGCGGCTACCGCCCAGGCTTCAGCTCCGGGCCCCGCGGCCGCCCCCCTCCCCGACCCTCAGGCCGCCCCCGGGGGCCGCGACCCCGCCCCATCCCGCCCGCCTGACTCACCGGTGTAGTGCACCACGCAGGTCTGGCCGCGCTTCGGGAAGGTGCGCCCTAGGAGAGACAGAGGCAGGTGAGCAGCTGCGCGCGGCGGCGGGGGCCCGGGCAGCGGGCGCTACTCACCGTCTCCGGGGGAGATGGTCTCCACCTGCACTCCCATGGCAGCGGCGGCGGCGGCGGAGGACGCGGGGCGGGCGGCGTGGACCCGGAGCGAACCTGGCAGCAGTTCAGCGGCTCGGCCTCGTCCCTCGGCGCGTCGCCTACGCAGGCGCGCCACAGCACGCCCCGCCCTGCGTGCGCCCGGCGCGCTCGGACCGGAAGGCCGGGCTGAGGGACCGGAAGTCCAGGAGCCGGGGACCCCCGGATGCAGCTGCGGCGTCCTGACCGGCCCTCTCGGCCTTCCTCTGCGCTTCCAGCTTGCGTTTCCGCTTCTGCCACATGGCCGTAGGAATTTGGGTGTGCGCCAGTTATTGACGGGGCCACCTAGAGCTGCTTCACGCTGCCGAACTCAGATACTCGTCTAGTAAGGAGGATGGCTGCGAGTAGGGCTGGCGGATGTGGTACCGTGGGGACGACGGTCAGCAACTAGCACCAGGTTCCTGGCTTCTGATTGGAGCAGGGATCAATGTTTTTTGTGGGGGTTTTTTTGTTTGTTTGTTTGTTTTGTTTTGTCTTTTTGAGACAGGGTCTCCCTGTAGCCCCAGCTGTCCTGGAAGTCACTATGTAGACCAGGCTAGCCTTGAGCTCACAGAGATCCGCCTGCCAATGTTTTAACACTGCCCTGCATGAAAGCCCCCATCCATGTCCGAATACGTATGCTTGACACACACACCCCTTTCGTACAAGCTTTCAGTGGGTTGCCCAGGTTTTGCTTGAATACCCCCATGAAAGGGTAGCTCACTACTCTCAGGCGTAGAGATTTGCACCATTGGAAATATCTGTATTGAGGGGGGAGTCCCTGGAGATGAAAAAAAAAGAGATTAGGTTGGCTCTTGTGCTTGTGGGTGGGTGTAAATGCTGAAGATCCTGGACTTGGTGGGAAGTAGGATAGAGGGTGAGAGGGCATGACTGAGACCGTTTTTTGACACTGCACCCAGCAGGAGGCTTGGGTAAAATGAAACAGTTCAAAGCCAAATGTTATTTGGGTGGTTGCTTTTTTAAAAGATATTTTATTATTTTTATTTTATGTGTATGAGTGTATTGCCTGCATGTGAGTGCACCCGTGTTGTGCAGTGCCACGGAGGTCAGAAGAGGGCTTCAGATTCCCCTGAAACTGGAGTTAAGGGCAGTTCGTAGCTGCCATGTGGGTGCTGGGAATCGAACCCACGTCCTCTACAAGACCATTCAGTGCTCTCAACGCTGAGCTATCTCTCCAGCCTCAGGTTGCCTTTTCTGAAGACAGGACATTGGGTTTCATCTAGGAAGCATTCCTCCTTTGTTGCCATAATATGGGAAAGAAGCTATTATCACTCAGCTCCAGCAAGGGCATGCAACACAGTCTGGGTAGCTGTGGTCACAGAAGCTCTAGAAACTGATTTAGGGATGAGTGAACTTATGTCTTGGTCTATTCAGACTGCTATAAACAAAATGCTATATACTGAATAGCTTCTAAACAAACATTTCTCATGGAATTACAGGCCTTTTTTGCTCTTCCAGAGGACCCAACAATCCCTACCACTTGTGTGGCTCACAACCACCAGTAACTCCAGTTCCAGTGATCTGATGCCCTCTTTTGGCCTCTGAGGACACCTGAACACATATGGCATACAACACACATGATTTTTTTTTTTTTTTATCTAAATAAGGAGTGGAGTGAGATGGCACAGCAGGCAAAACTACTATTAGTACAAGCCTGAAAACCTGAGTTCTATCCCCAGAACCCATGGTGGAAGGAGAAAGCCATCTCTTCAAAGTTGTCCTCTGACCTTCATACATGCTGTGGAATGTGTGTATCTGCACTCATACAAACAATAATAAATAAAACATTTCTCATGTTTCTGGAGGTGGAAAAGTCTAAAGTTCTATGTGTAGTGAAAGCCAGCTTTCTGGCTTACCAACACCTCAGTGTGTCCTCATGTTGTGAGTGGTGAGTGACCTCTATCTGGCTTCTAACCTATATCCACACTGGCTTTTGCCCTCATCACCCAATTACCTCCCAAAGAACTCATCTCCAGTCACTTTGGGGATTGGGATTTCAACATCTGAATTTGGGGGATGGGACACAAACATACAATAGTAGTATATGATCCAGAAAGAATGGTTTAGGCAATTTGGGTTACTGTAACAAAAAAAGCCTGTAAGCTGAGTGACTTTGTCGTGTGTGTTGCTGGGGATTTAATTAAGGGCTTGTCTCTCACTGAGCTACACCCCATCCCCAAATTGGGTGATATGAATAACAGATACTGATTTTCTCACACTTCTGAAGTGGGAAAGCCTGAGATGGGTTATAGAGGCTGGCTACCTTCTTACTGTTAACTCACTTAAGACAGGAAAGGAAGGGGAAAGGGGTGTGAGAGAACTCTGGTATCTCTTCTCATAAGAGTACTAATCCCATCTAAAGGATCGGTTTCATTCAACTTTTGTCTCCCAAAAGCCCAAAATACCATCACATTTGGGGATAGGACCTCAACATACAAGTTTTGAGGCCATAGCAGTCCATAAGCACAGAGTTAAGGAATCTCAAGTTGTTGTGGGTGCTGTTAATGATTAAAGGAGAGCACAGAGGAACAGGGAGATGGCTCAGTTGGTAAAGTTCTTAGTTTGCAGTCAGAAGGACCTGAGTTTGATCCCCAGCACCTAAGTAGAACTGCCAGGCATGATGGTGCAGGCCTTTAATTACAATACTAGGAAGCCTATAGCCCCAGTGCTAGGGAAACAGACAAGAGGATCCCTGGGGCTCACTGGCCGGCCAGTCTAGCCTACCTGGTAAGCTTCAGGCCAATGAGAAAGCCTGTCTCAAAAGACATGAACATGGACCATGTTCTTGAAGACAATGCCTGAGGTCCTCTAGCATCCACACAGCATACACCCATGTGTGCACACACATAAAAAAATAAATGAGAGGACTGGAGAGGTGGTTCAATGGTTAAGGGCATTGGCTGCTCTTGCAGAAGACCTGGGTTTGAATCCCAGCACCTACATGGTGGCTAACAGCTATATGTAACTCCAGTTCCAGGGGCTCCGACATCCTCTTCTGCCCTTTGAGGGCACTGCACAACATAGATACACTTAGATACATGCAGGCATAACACTCATACACATAAAATAAAATTTAAAAGAGACACCCCCCCATTATAATAGATTTAGCCTGAATCTAGATAATCCTTAATTCTATGCTAGTCAAGTTTTCCTTTTGCTGGTTTGAGTTGGCAGTTTCTGCTACTTGTAGCTAAAAGATTCTTGGGTTATTTGATCCCTAGACTCACAGATCTTGACCTCTAAAGGTTGCATTTACTGGTTAATGAGCTGCTTTGGGATGGGTGTAATGACTACAGGGGGCTTTCATGCTAAAATACATCAAGATCACTGGCTTGGCTCCCAGAATTTCACTCTGTAGTGTGAGGTGAATCCAACAGGAGAATCTATTTCTGACAAATTCCAGAGTGATGTTTGCATTAATTACTTTTAGGTTGCTGTGACCACAATGCTTACAGAAACGGAGGAAAGATTTATTCTGGCTTATAGTATCAGAGGATTTCAGTCCATCATGGCAGGGAAAGCATGGCAGAGCAGCTCAGTTCGTGGGAGCAGTAGGAGTGTGTGACAAAGGCTGTTCATGTCGCAGTGGACCAGGAAGCAGAGAACCAGGCAGGATCCAGCTAGCTACCATCTTTAAGACCCATGTTCCTAGTGACCCTCTATAAGCTATGCCTACCTCCTAAAGTTTCCATTGCCTCCTGAAATAGTGTCACCAGCTAAACATCTAAAATGGGAGCTTTTAGGAACATTTCAAATTCAAACCATGACAGTGCTGTTGGCCTGGAAACCACATTTGGAAAACCACTAGTACAGTGGAAGCCCCTGACTGCTGAAATAAGGACTCCTGGAATCTCAGTGGTCTGAGACTGAGACAAATCAGAGAACAGAGCCTCAGTGAGAAAGACCCATGTGAGTCCACAAGGAATTTAATTCCTACTTTTAGCTCACAAAGGGAAGGCATCATGGCTCCACAGTTCACATTCTCACATGACCTCTGACAATGTCCACCATGCTTCCTCTTTTCTATAGTGTCCAGGCAGACCACGGGAGCCTTACAAAACCCCTGTGATCTGGCTCTACTGGGAAAGGCAGAGAAGACTAGAATCCCTCATGCTCTCAACTCTGAGCTCTTATGTGCAAGCTACATCACAGCTATGGATATATACACGCTGAATTTCCTGGGCCATGCTAACAGCAAACTTTCTGTTCTGTTGCTCTCCTGGGCTTTTTAAATATCAGGAAATTTTGATTCTGTGTTCCTCTAAACTGTGTTTCTCAGATAGCTGTAGGACTCAAGAACAAACCTTGAAACTCATGAACTCAGCTATTTGGATTGGGACTTGTGATCATCAGATCATAGTGACTGTAGACAATGACCCATGGCTCTAGAGGAGTCAAAGCAATGTGTACCAAGAGATAAGGACCTCAGCTGCCCTGAAGAACAGGAAAGTGGCTCCAGTAAGACTATAGGCAGCTGACTCAACAGCAAGAAATACAGTGAGGATGGGGGGGGGCGTACCCCAGTGGTAGAGTGCTTAGCTAAATGTGTGAAGCCCAGAAACTGGCTCTGTAGACCAGTCTGGCCTAGATCTCACAGAGATCTGTCTGCGTCTGCCTCTGAAGTGCTGTGATTAGCATGTGTCACTACACCTGGCTCAAAAATGTTTTTTAGAGGAGCTGGAGAGATGGCTCAGTGGTTAAGAGCACTGACTGCTCTTGCAGAGGACCCGGGTTTGATTTCCAGCACCCACATGGCGGCCACAAATGGTCCTTAACTCCAGTTCCAGGGGAATCTGAAGCCCTCTTCTGACTTCCACGGCCATGGGTGCACTCACGTACATGCAGGCAATACACTCATACATAAAATAAAAATAATAAAACATTTTTAAAAATATTTTTTAGAAAGAAATGGAGTACTTGGGATTTTCATTATTTTGCATAGTGTAAAATCCAAAATCCTGATCCTAATGTCATCATTATCAACCTTTTATACAAAGGAAAGTAACCTGCCTGTGGTTACAATGCACTGTCTTCAAAAATGACCTCACAAAGGTCTCAGATCTCAATCCCTGGATCCTGTGAGTGTATTTCCCATGGAAAGGAGGCCTTTTCAGATGTGATGATGCCAAGGTCTGAAGATGAGGAAGTTCTCCTGGGTTATCAGGGTGACCCTTATTACAATACCATTTCATATATAAGGAGGGAAAACGGCAAGTTTTCACCCCATGTAAAACTTGGACTACATTATGTTTTTTTCTTATGTTAATTTCAACAAATTATTTCTCAGTGGGCAGATAATATCTAAGTGGGCAGTGTTAAAGTTTTGCTTTTCCTACACCATCACCTTAGATAGTTTCCTTACTGTGTATGTCCAGTAGGCACCTCTCTGAGAGGCAGTCACTGATTTCTATCCCTGTAGATTAACCCTGTACCTGTGCTATCCCATGGAGCTTTCTGCAGTGATAGGAATGTTCTCTATCTTCGAGGCACAGCACTCACTGTAGCTATTCAGCCTTTAAATGTGACTGGTGCAAATGAAGAAGTGAAAAACAAAAACAAAACACTAAAACAGGATCTCTAGTCAAGGTAAGGCTTGAACTCCCTGTGTGGCTAAGGATGACCTTGAACTTTCAGTCCTCCTCTTGCTCCCACCTCCCAAGAGCTGAGATTACAGGCATGTGTCAACACGCAGGGTTTACAAGGTGCTGGGAATCAAACCCAGGACCTCCTGTAAGCTAGGCAAGCACTCTGCCAATTGAGGTATATCTCTAGCCCTAGAAGGGAAACTTTTATTGTATACAATTTAAATTTGGACAGCCATAGGTGGCTAGTGACTGCCATACTGGACAGAGCTATCTGTCTACCATCTTTGCATCAACATAATGGCTTTAAGATTGGCCCATTTTGCCGGGTGTGGTGGAGCATGCCTGTAGTCCCAGCACTTCGGAGGCAGAGGCAGGCAGATCTCTGTGAGTTCAAGGTCAGCCTGGTCTACATAGTTCCGGGACAACTGGGGCTACAGGGAGACCCTGCTTCAAAGAGACCAAAAAAAAAAAAAAAATTGGCCCATTTTGTGTGTCTCAGTAGCTTGTTACTACTAGGCTTTTGGTTTTTTATTTTAGTTGTACATATGACATAGAATAGGCCATCTTGACTATTTTAAAGTGCACTGTTCACCAGAATTAGGCACATTTACATTATTATGCAACCATCACCACCACATCTCTAGACCTTTTTCATTTTCCTCTGAAACTCTGAGCCCATCAAATGCTCAAGTCCTCATCTCTGACCCCCAGTTCTTGACATTCAGCATTCGCCTTTCTGTTACTAAATTTTTAGTTTATTTTCAAAGTTTTATTTTTATTTATTTATTTTTGAGACAAGGTCTTGCTATGTAGCCCAGGCTGGCCTTGAACTGTCCATCTTCCGACTGCAGCCTCCCAAGTGCCCTGGCTAAGATTTTATTGCTTTGTTAGTTCTTTACTGTCAAGTAGCCTACATCTCTCTTTTTCAGTCTTGCCCTACTCTGTGTGTGGGTTGAACCCATGAAAATTACATGTGCACAGGTCACAATTCATCTGCAAGTCTTGGTTTCTGCACATTTACCTTGACTGGAGGGGGCTTTATACAGCAGTGCCATGGTTGTGGTTTCTCTGCATTTCACACTCTAGTGCCAGCCATGTAGGTGGCAGGGACAAGGTATCTGCTCACTGTGAGTTCCTGGACCCTGGCATTCCATGGATATGGGGTGGGGCACCAACATCTAATGAAATCCCTGAAGGCCTCCTATTCCCAAGCAGCTTCTCCCCATTGTCAGTGAATCCTCCAGCATCCCGAAGTTGTCTTCACTCCAGCTTCTTAGAGGAGAATGTAGCCAAAGCTCAGAATTCCACTCTCGGGCTTCCTCCTCCTAGCCTCCCAATGACAAGGAATTAAAGTTAGTCAAAAAGTTTGGCAGGGAGGTGAAAGAAAGAACAGTATCCATGTTAGAAGACTCAATAATTAAATGCTAGGATAACAGCTGGGCTGAGGGGCTAAGCAGCCTAACAAGTACACCCATAATGTGAACACTTGAACACAACACAAAGCTTATTATTCTGTCATGGAACATTCAGGGCCAATGCTCCAGCAGGGGTGGGTGGGTGCTCCATTCCACATGGCCATTCAGGGAGCTGGGCTGCCTTTGAGCTTGCTGTCTTCAGCATGTGGCTGCCACAGCCACTCCTTTGTTGTGACTTGGGTTCAAGAACAGAAAGAAAAGAGCACCTGGCAGGCTTTCCCAGCCAGGTCTGGGGTGGCACCAACTCTTCTAATAAGGATTTAGTCACCAAGTTGTATTTGACTACAAAGGACAATGGGACGTATGCCCAGCAAGGACAGGGAACTGGAGTTAATGGCCTCTGTCACACCAGGCATGTTTGAGAGCCTCCTCAACAACACTATTTTAGGACTTAAGGATTCTACAAATGGTCTTCACCTTGTTTCCTGAGACAGGGGTGATGACACACAGTGACAGTGTGCTACTGCTGTTGACTGCTTGGCTCTGACTCAGCATTTATGGAGCAACCTCATAGTTGGCATCCCACCCAGGCTCTTCCTGGAGAGTGTCTGGAACAGTGAACAGGAATATGTGGTTTGATGGTCAGGTCTACAAGATGTTGCCCTCTTGCCCCAGCACTTCCCTCTTTCTGCTTCAGAACCATACTCATTTTTTTTTTTTTTTTTCCTTTTGGGACAGGGTCGCCCTGTAGCCCCAGCTGATCTGGGACTCACTATATAGACCAGGCTGGCCTCAAACTCACAGAGATCCGCCTGCCTCTGCCTCCCGGGGACTGGGATTAAAGGCATGCGCCACCACACCCAGCACTCATAACCGTACTCTTAAAAAATAAAATAAAAATATTTTATTGCTTTTAAGTGCGTCACATGTATGCGTGTATTGCCTGCATGTAGGTAAGTGCACCCACACACACTAGTACAGGTGCCCACAGAAGCCAGAGGCATGTGATCCCCTGGAGCAGGAGTCACAGGCAGTTGTGAGTGCTGAGAGCCAAACTTGGGTCTTCTGCAAGAGCAGTAGGCCTGCTGAGCCATCTCTTCAGCCCCCAGAGCAGACTCTAAGCAAAGCACTGCAGGGCTTGCAAACTCCCCACCCACTGCTTTTCCTCCCACCAGTGTGTGGGGGCTCCTTTGCTGCTAGGGGTTGCCATGTGAACAGCTTCCGCTGATGAAAGCAGATGATTTCTGACTGGGGCTCCAGAGAAAGCCATTGTATCCTGGCTTCAGAAAAAACTGAAAGCTAGGTACAGGGGCTCACAAGTGTAATCCAAGCACTTGGTAGGTGGAGGCAGGAGAATCACCTCCAAGGCCAGCAAGGGTTACAGAGTGAGACCCTGTCACAAATATATATATGGAGAGAGAGCGAGAGCAAGTGAGAAAGCAGGAGGAGGAGGAATAAAGAAATGAGAAGGGAGGGAGAGGACTTGGCTGGTGCTGTGCTCACTATCTCACCTGTTGCCCTTTTTCTTATTTAGGATACAGTCACTGTGGAATGCAGCAGCCACCTTGTATCCATGAAGATTAGAATTGCATGCCAGGGATTTGGAAGGAACTGTAGGAGGAGCCTGGGATTTTAATACTGTTAGCATCATTGCCTTAAACCTGCCTATTTCCAGACTTTGTGAGAAAAATTAATCCCTTATTTGGTTATTTCAACATGCCATACTCAAATTTCTGTTTCACACACTGAATGGACTTCTAGCAGATACAGGTTTCTTGCTGAAAAATTTAAAAATCAATGTCTGGTTTATATATTAGTCTCTGCTAAGTTTAATCACCACAAATCCGTTTCCACAGATGGGTTCCTGTTCCTATTGAACCCAACAATTGAATTTTAAAAATTTTAATTATCATCCTCAGCTACATATCAAGACTTTGAGGCCCTGTCTCTAAATAAATAAGTGAATGAATTTAATTAATTAAAAAGTTAACACACTCGCACATATTTATGGGGTGCAATGTGATATTCCAGTACATGGGCATAATGTATACCAATAAGATCAGGTATTTGTCATATCCATCTCAAAGCTTTATCATTTCTTTTGTGGAGAATATTTAAAATCCTTTCTAGTAGCTATTTTGCTGTGGGTAATTGTCAACCATAGTTACTGTACTGTGCTATAGGAACACTAGAAGTTATCCTTCCTACCCAGCTGCACCACTGGATCCATGACACATTCTCTTTTCATCTCCCCCTTCCTTCCTTCTGACCCTCTGGTAACCACGCTTCTCCTTTCTACTGCTGTGGATCAACGTTTTTGTTCTCATATGTCAGTAAGGAGCATATGGTATTTGTATTGATTTTACTTAACACAACATACTCCACACTCATGCATGCTACCACAAATGACAGAATTTCATTCTTTTTTATAGATGAATAATATTCCCATATATACATACGTATATGTGTGTGTACACACACACACACACACACACACACACACACGGCATTTTCTTTAGTCATCTATCCATGGATTCTAAACTTTGGCTCTGTTGAGAACCGTGCTCCTGTACACATGTCTCTGACTGACTGATTCCTTTGGATATATGCCCAGTGGTGGGATTGCTGGATCTTACAATGTTCTGTTTCTAGTTTTCTTCAGTGAACTCCATGCTCTTTTCCACAGTGTTGTATTAATTGACATTCCCTCCAAGAGTACATGAGAGTTTCTCTCTCTTTGCAAGCTCACCAGTATTATTTTTCATTTTATTTATAACTGTGTTAATCAGCTTTCCATTGCTGGGACAGAAATACTTAATTGATATAAAAAGAATTGGTGTTTATTTTGGTTCATTGTTTCAAAGGTTTGAGTCCCTGGTCACTTGCCTTGCTGCTTTGGGCTGGTAGCAGAACAGGATATCGTGGTGGGAGCCCATAGGGAGATCTGTTTACCTCAGGGTGGCCAGGAAGAAAAGAGAAAGGAAGAGGCTGGGGTCCCAGTTCCCTTCAAGGACAGGTCCCAGTGACCTTTGTTCTGAAGGAAGGTCCCACAACCTCCTAATAGGCTGTAGGCTGGCATCCAGGCTTTTAACATATTTGCTTCTGGGGGACATTTAAGAGTTGAACCATAACAATAGCCATTTTAATTGAGGTGAGATAATAGATCCTTGTAGTTTAAAAAATATTTATTTTTATTTTATGTTTATAAATATTTTACCTGTATGTATATAAGTGCATCATGTGTGTGCAATGCCTGTGGAGGCCAGAATAGGGTGGTATATCCCCTGGAACTGGAGTTACAGATGGCTGTTAGCTGCTGTGTGGGTGCTGGGAACCAAACTGGAAGAACAGCAAGGACTCTTCACCCCTTAGCCATCTCTCTAGCCCCTCATCGTAATTTTGTGTTTCCCTCATGATTGGGATATTGAGCAATTTCATATACTTGTTGGTCATTTGTATCTTATTTTGAGAAATGTCTACTCAGATCACTTGCTGGTTTTTAAATTGTTTTGTTTTTATTTTTTGATTCTGGGTTTAAGTTCCTTACATATTCTGAATATTCTTTGCCAGAAGAATAATTTAAAACTATTTTTCTCATTTTGTAGGTTGTCTCTTAACTGAAAGTTTCTTTGTTGTGCAAAATTTTTAAATTTAATATAGGCTCATTTGTCAGGTTTTTTTTGTTCATTCTAGACAGGTGTGTATCAGTTAGCAAGGCACTGGTTCAGTTTTAAGGCTACAGATGGTTACCAGCCATCTGTAGGTAGTTTGACTAATGATTTCTCAAGTTATGATAGTGGCAGAACCATAGGCATTCCATAGAAACTATTTTTGCATGTGTAGGGGCGTGTATGCATGTTCACATATTTGTGGGTGCAGGTATATGTAAGAGGCCTAAGGTTGATGTTGGGAGCTCTCAATAGCTCCCCACCTTATTTATTGATGTAAAGTCTCCCAGTGAAACCCAGATCTCATCAATCCAGCTAGTTTAGCTATCCAGCTTGCTCCAGGGGTTCCCTTCAGAATGCTGGAGTTACAGGCGAGCTGTCACGCCCATATGGCATTTACATTGGTTTCTGAGGATCCCAACTCCTGTCGTAGTGCTTGCACAGTAAGTGTTTTATCCAATCTCCCCAGCCCTCAGGAACTGTATTTTGAATTTTGATTTTTTTCCCCAGACTTGCAATATGTGGCACCCTCTTCTCTCTACTGGGCAGTGACAGCAAGACACGGTGCCAGTCAGCCACAAAGGGGAACAACCAGTACTCTAGGTCAGGTGTATCAGTGCCATGTTGACTCAGGACATTTTCAGTTTATGATAGGCTTAATCAGGAAGCAATCCTGTCATAAGCAGAAACTGGCCTGTCCTAATTAACTCTTCTGTTCTACACAGCCATACACATTCAATAGAGTTATGAGCCCATTTTGCAGATGAGGAACCTGAGGCACATGGAAGCCAAATTGCTCAGCCCATTCATCAGCTAGGTGAGATTAGGAATGCATCCCTCTGGGACCTGGATGCTATTCTATAAATCTAAAGCTTGCAAGCTAACATCCATGAACTATCACTTGCCCTTCTTACATGTGATGTATATGGATAGACTTTTCCTATTCTATTCACTTTCATATCACTTCGTAAAAATGCCCATAACGACTCATTAAATAGCTGCATGACCTGCTCATGGTTGTGACCTGTTGAAAAGCACCAGGTGACATCACTAACACTCAATTTTTTACATGGGTTCTCAGGATCCAAACTCATAATTGCAAGGCAAATGCTATACCCACTTAGTCATATTCCAACCCCCAAATGCCTTAAATGATCTCACTGAGTCCCTCCTACAACTTTCACAGGCATAGACTTCACTGAGGCACAGAGCAGTTATTATCCTGTCCAACACCACCACACAGTTGAACCCAGGCAATCTGTATAGTCACTTATCAACCTTCTTTAATAGGGACAGTGACATGAGAACAGCGACAACCAGTCATGGATATGCCACAGGGCAACAAAGAGTCAATTCTTAGGTCTTCTGAATAACATATATATTAACTTGTGAGTTTAAGGCCAGCCTGGGCTACATGAGACCAATCTCCAAAAAAAAAAAAAAAAAAAAAATTAGGGACTGGAGAGATGGCTCAGTGATTAAGAGCACTAGTTGCTCTTGCAGAGACCCAGGTTCAGTTCCCAGCACTCACATGGCAGCTAAAAACTGTCTTTAACTCCAGTTCCAGGGGGATTTGACACACTCTTCTGGCCCCCCACAGGTATTTCATGCACATGGTACACTTATATGCATGCAGACAAAACCACTCATATACATAAAATTTAAAAATCAGAAAACCCCATACTATATCTCTGGGGTATATATCCAAAGAAAATTAAATATAATAAAACTTCTTTTAATCCCAGCACTCCAGAGGCAGAGGCAGAGGCAGAGGCAGAGGCAGGTGGATCTCTGTGAGATTGAGGCCAGCCAGGTCTATATGGCAAGTTCCAGGCCAGCTGAGGCTACTAAAAGAGAGAGAGGAGAGAGAGAGTGAGAATGGGGGGTGGGGAGAGGGAGAGGGAGAGGGAGAGGAGGGGAGAGGAGGAAAAAGGAAGCTAGCTGAGTAGCTGAACATGAATCAGGAAAGCAAGCAAGCCAGTAAGCAGTGTTCTTCCATGGTCTCTGCTTCAGTTTCTGCCTCCAGATTCCTGCCTTGAGTTCCTGCCCTGACTTCCCTCAGTGATGAGCTGCTACCTGGAAGTGTAAAACAGAATAAACAATTTTTTCCCCAAGCTCTTTTGGTCAGTGTTTTAACACAGCAATAGAGACACAAACTAAAACAGAGGGTTATAGCAAAGTGGGGAAATCTCTGCTGTAGACCTCAGATGCTCTCTGAAGACACTTAGCCTTTTGGTTGGTGGAAGCCAGTGATCTGTTAATACATTTCAGAGGTTTTTTGTCTGTTGTTTTTTTTTTTACCTTTTTTTAAAAT